TGATTGGTTTTGTAAGCCTCTCCGTCACATCCTGAATTCGAGCTCCTGGTAAGCAGCACACCTCTCGAGATTCTAGGTCCAGATGGCTGATGGATGTCTTAGTCCCTCTTTGGAGGAAGTTCCCGACCACTACTACCCATGTTTTCTTTTGGGGGTGGTGATCATGGAACCACCATCCCTAGGACTATGCATCCCATGCCTTCCAGTAGATGGTGTTCTCTTTCGGTTTCTTCTTTGTGAGGTTCCTTCCAAAACATTCACCACCGCAGAGCCTGAAAGTGATTACTTACCTCTATAGCATTAGGGGATTCCTGTGCTGGCATTTTTCCCCTTTTAGAAGTTACATGCTGCCAGTTCTCTTCCTGGTCCCATACTGCCCTCTCTGGCTCTTCTGCCTGCCATGCTTGCAGGATTAAGCGCTGCCTTGTATCGAGGAAGTCTTCATCTTCTCTGATTGAGCATAGAGTTGACACTTGGGCCTCCAGTCCTCTAATTTTTTCTTCCAAAATGTTGACCAGCTTGCACTTAGTGCAGATGAAATCTGTTCTTTCTTCCGGGAGGAAGACCAACATGGCACACGCTGTGCAGGTAACAATAGCAGAACTGTCACCATCCATCCCTGCTGTCCTGGAGAAAGGATTTATAAGAAAGGCAAGAGAACCTCACCCCCTTCCCCCTAGCCTTCCCAATTCCCTCTCTAAACTCCCTGTTAGCACTGACCTGTTTGCAAGCTCCTTGGTCACTTACTCACTGCTTTATAAAGCCATGGACCACCTGAAAGTCCCTCCCCCTACCAAGGCTCAGCCAATCAGCAGAGGCTTCTACAATTCAAACTTTAATTAGAAGTCAACAGTTTCCATCTGCCAGTCACAGCACACACTCCATGAAAGAGAGGGGGAGGGGAAAGCGGAAGTGAAAAAAAAGCCCCACTGAAAAACACAGGGGAAAAAACAAAACAAAACAAAAAAAAACCCACACCAACCCTCACTCACAAACACAAGCTCACCACACAGCAAGAAAGCCCCAAACACAACAGACACTTCCCTCAAGAGTCCTGTTTCTGCTCCTCCTTTACCTGGAGAACTCCCTCTCTAAACTCCCTGTGAGCACTCACCTGTTTGCATGCTCCTTGGTCGCTTGCTCACTCCTTTATAAAGCCCTGGACTGCCTGAAAGTCCCTGCCCCTACCAAGGCTCAGCCAATCAGCAGAGGCTTCTACAATTCAACACAAGTCACATCAAGGACATCAATAAGAAGTTCTCAGTGCGTTATTACCTCGACCTGGTGCTGATAGATGAGGAAGAGTGGGGCTACTTCAAACAGTCGGTGAGAAGGGGGTTAGGTGTAGCCAGCCAGACAAGAACGTCTTCCGGGGCTCTGTTATAAATAGCAGGAGAAGACCCGTTGGCAGTCAGGCCGGCAGTGTAGGGGAAGATGTTCCTCCCTAAGTGCCCACTCAGGCCCCATCATGAGAGGCATGGACAGAAAATGCACCTGCCTGTCTGGGTCTCTTGGGGATGCTCCTCAGAGAGGCAGCCATGTTAGTTAGTAATTAAAATAATGGAAAAAGCAACACTGGTCCCACAGCACCCCAGAGTGTCTATATAATGTGTTTGGGTGAGTCTTTATGGTGCAACAGAGCCATTGTTGTTTAAATGTTTTTCTCCAGAGAAGGTTTATCCACCGTGACCCCCCTCTCCATTCTCTACACTGCACCATACGTGGCCGTCTTTTATCTCATTAATGGCAGTGCTGCGTCCTAGAACAGGCCGGCCATCTAATGGCTGCCTCTGGAGTACAGGTTGGACCTCCTGGTCCAGCCGCCTCAGGACCACGGGTGTTGTCAGAGCAGAGAGTCCTAGACCACAGAGGTGCAACCAGTACTACCTCAGCCTGTGCTGCCATCTGACCTTCAGAGATCTGCTCTGCCTGGACCCCTCTGCTGAGGCCTCTCACAGGTGAAGGGTATGAGAGTGGCGTATGGGGATGGATGCAAGTTACTGCTCCAGTAGCTAAGGCAGCTGTTGGCCTGTGAGAACATCCTGGGTGGGCCGGCGTAGCTCCTGCGTGTCCTCACAGGTCCTGTTGGCTGCGTTCTGACAGGAGGTGGTGCTATGGTGGGAAGGAGACACTGTGAGGAAGAGCATGTCCCACCAGGCAGCTATTGCCTCTCTGCAGCTTGAGAGGCCATGCGGAGGCCAGGACCCCCAGCCAGCCTGCAGCAAACAGTAGCTGGCAGCGAAAGGCCCTGTGGAGCAAGGCTGCTGCAGAACCCAAGTGCCCGGGGCTGGCAGCAGCAAGGTGGGGGAAAGAGAATATTTCACCAGAGACTTACGAAAACCAGTATCAGGTTTTTGACCTAATTCTGATCTTGGAAGGACCAGTAGGGTGGGGAGGGGCAATGCAAGCGACAGGGCTCCCCATCCTACTGCGTTCCGCTGTGGGCAGGCTGCTTTTATACATGCAGGGGCCTCGGGGCTGCCTGGCTGTCCCATTGCTATGCGACCCCTTCACCATGGCGGTGGGGAGGCAGGAGGGGGAAGGGGAAACTGAGCACTCTGCCTCGGCAGTAGGTGTGTCACTTTAGGCATGCAGGAAGGCATTTTGCTGCCATCCAAAGGCCTTTGTGAGGTGTGTAGGAGGAGAGAGCCTGATGAAGCATTTTAGCTGGAAGGTAGGAGTGTGCATGAGCAGAGTAAGTGTGAGGAGTAGCCTGCTTGACGGGTTTTCCCCCCTCTGTGAGACTCTGCTGCTAGCGGCTATATAACAACCCAGGGAGTAGCAGAGCCAGGCTGTGCAGAGTAGCAGAAGCTGCTACCTTTGTGTCCCTGCCCTGGGAGTTCATGGACACAAACATACACGGCACCTTCCCTGGGACCACAGGGTCCCCATTGCCCCATGGCTGGAGCTGGGCTGTGTCACTGAGTCCATCACACGCTCAGCACGGCACTTTGGTCACTACATCCAGACAATCTTAACCAGGCAGTGTTATCCCCTGTCATGGAGAGACTGAGGGTATGTCTACACTACCCCGCTAGTTCGAACTAGTGGGGTAATGTAGGCATACCGCACTTGCAAATGAAGCCCGGGATTTGAATTTCCTGGGCTTCATTTGCATAAGCGGGGAGCCGCCATTTTTAAATCCCCGCTGGTTCGAACCCCGTGCCGCGCGGCTACACGCGGCACGAACTAGGTAGTTCGAACTAGGCTTCCTAGTTCGAACTACCGTTACTCCTCGTGGAGTATACTTCCCCTCCTCCTTGGACATTAGGAAAAAGTTCCTACCTGTCAGGGTGGTCAAACACTGGAATAAATTGCCCAGGGAGGTTGTGGAATTTCCATCTCTGGAGATATTTAAGAGTAGGTTAGATAAATGTCTATCAGGGATGGTCTAGACAGTATTTGGTCCTGCCATGAGGGCAGGGGACTGGACTCGATGACTCTCAAGGTCCCTTCCAGTCCTAGTATTCTAAGATTCTATGATTTTTTGGTCGATGTGGCCAATGGCGAGCCACAACCGTAGCCCAGTGTTTCTCAACCAGTGGTACGATTACCCTCAGGGGTACTCGAGAGGAGTCTGGGGGTATGTCAACAGACCTGAAATTTGGAGAAAACTGAATCTTTGTTTTAAGTTTTATTTTTGTACTATTTACACCCAAAAATATCATCACCCACTCAGCTACGATTAAGTTGTATAAATAAACGTGTTGCAATGGAAGAAAAATTTTGTATGTGTCTGAAAACTGCAATACTGGGGGAACTTATACATTTTTAAAGGGTACTTATAATTTTTTTCAAAAAGTGGTACTTTATAAAAACGGTTAAGAAACACCGCGATAGCCCATTCGCTCAGGTGAGGTCATGGCACAGCTATATTCTCACTCAAACTAGTAATGCCAGTTCCTGGCCAGAGCAATGTTGGTGTGGGGTCAGGACTCCCAGATCCATCTCCCAGCTCTGACCCTGACTTATTGTGTCCCTCTGGGTGAATCATATATCTCCGCCTCTCTCAGTCCCTCCATGACAGGGGATAACGCTGCCCAGCAGCCTGGCGAAAGATTATCTAGATGCAGTGACCAAAGCGCCGTGCCGAGCATGTGATGGACTCAGTGGCACAGCCCAGCTCCAGCAATGGGGCAATGGGGGCCCTGTGGGCCCCGGACAGGTTCTGTGTACGTGTGTGAATAGCTGGCTCATGGATGCTCTTCCATAGATCTCCCTCTGCCCAGCATTCTGCTTTCCCAGCTCACCCAGGAAATTATCCTCCCAACTCTCTCAGCTGTTGTCCTCCTGGCTTCAAAATGGATCCCTTGCCCTGCCTTCAGGGCTTGGTTCAGGGCAAAGGGCTCCTAAACTATCCCACCCCCCAGCAAGGGTCTGCCAGCTACAGGTTCCCTCTGGGAGGAATAAGAGGGAACTAAAAATATGAGCCAAACTAAGGTGTCTGCCCTCTGTGGGGCCCACAGCCTGTGAGATATACAGCCTCCCCTGACCTTCTCATAGCCCTGCTCCTAACCCTCAGCTGCTTCTGTACAGCTTCATGGCTCCCCTCTCTCCTCCAGGCTGGCCTGTCACCCTACTGCTGTGTTCTCACAGCACCTAGACCCTGCTCCGGAGCAGAGGGAGCCCAGCTGGGGGGACAGGGAGGGGAGGAGTGAGCAGTGGTGGCCCTAGGGCAATAGGCAGAGAAGGGGAGAGCCGTGAGGAAGAAGCAGGATAGTTGGCTGGGCTGCCTGTCTCCAGAGAACTGCAAGGAGCAAGGTGCTGGATGAATGTATCCAAGAGCTGTGCCCAGACCTATCCCCACTGTCTCACCCTGACACAGCAGTGAGGGCAGCTACAGGGTTTAATGTCTCTGTGACCAGCCAGGAGCTGACTCAGGGAAGAGTCTCGTCAGCAGCTGGCCCCACACAGAGCTCCCTGCGAGAGCCAGATCCCCAGGGGCAAACATTAGGAGCCTTTCTGTGTAACTAGCCCAAGCAGCCTGTCCCGGATCTGTTTGGTTCTCACCCCATAGATGATGGGGTTTAGCATGGGGGTCACCAAGAGGCACATGTTGGTCATGAGAACAATCACATACAGAGGAACATTCTGGACATAACGAAATAAGAGGGAGGAGAGCAGAGCTGGGACATAAAATACTAAGATGGCGCACAGGTGGGAGCCGCATGTCCCAAAAGTCTTGAGCCGGGCGTCCTTTGTGGGAAGGCGGAAGATGGCCCTGAGGATATAGCCATAGGACACAGCAATGAAAAGCACATCCACACCGTACACACAGATTGTCAAGAAAAGGCCGTAGTAACTACTGATGTGGATGTCGGCACAAGCCAGACTCACTACGGTAATGTGCAAACACTGCGTGTTGGGGATGATGATGGTTCCGCAATATGGCCACTGCCTGGCCAAGAGGACCACGGGCAGTATAAGTATGACACCGCGCAGTACAACGGCCAGGGCGCTATTGGTCAAAACATGGTTTGTGAGGATAGTGGAATATCTCAGGGGATTGCAGATGGCCACATAGCGGTCCACAGCCATGGTCACAAAGATCCCGGACTCAGTCATGAAGATGCTGTGAATGAAGAACATTTGGGCAAAGCAGGAATCGAAATTGATCTCCCTTGAATTGAAATAAAAGATCCACAGCATTTTGGGTATAGTGCATGTAGACAGGACCAGGTCGGTGACGGCCAGCATGCAGAGAAAATAGTACATGGGCTCATGGAGGCTTGGCTCTGTCTTCACAATGAATAGGATAGTGACGTTCCCCAAGATGGCTATGATGTACATAATCAAGAAGGGGATGGAGATCCAAACATGGGCGGTCTCTAGGCCAGGAACACCCTGCAGGATGAAGGTGGAGGGGTTGGTGAAGACAGTTGTGTTGGAATGTGACATGGCGTAGGGGAGAAGTTCTCCAACTCCAAGGTAGAGTGGTGTCTGATGGTACCGTACCTTCCCCGGACTTCCTTAAGTTCCCAAGCCCTAGTGTGATGGTCGCAGTGCAGATGCCTGCAAGGAGAGACAATGTGAATATGAGACACGGGTGAAGAAAATTTGTCATTCTTCATTGATTAAAACTGGCATTATTTTGAGTCAGAGAATGAATTATGAAAAATCAACCCTACTAACCCCAATTCCGTAATTTACAGCACTTCATGCGACACTAATTTCTACATGTCCTGCTGTAGAAAACCTCAACAGGCACTAGCAGGAAACAGAAGACCAGATACCGGTTAATCCTCATTGTTCCCCACTCTGGGACTTTGAGTGTAGAAAAGGGGGGCCCACAAGAAACCTTAAAATGGCCTGTCACTGAAGACTTCTCTTCAAAAAAGGTCTCCAGGGTCACAGATTCCCTGGACTCCCTGACTTTTGATGGTATGCCATCACCCAAATGCAAAACCAAACTAACACAAAAACAAAAAAAAAACACCTTCAAAAGCCAGAAGGAAATACTTCGGAACGTGTTCCTATAGGGTAATCCCAAGCTCTGTAACCCTCCCTCAAAAAAAGATATTTTGGCCTTGGAAAGGGTTCAGAAAAGGGCAACTAAAATGATTAGGGGTTTGGAACGGGTCCCATATGAGGAGAGGTTAAAGCGACTGGGACTTTTCAGTTTAGAAAAGAGGAGACTGAGAGGGGATATGATAGAGGTCTATAAAATCATGAGTGGTGTGGAGAGGGTGAATAATGAAAAGTTATTTATTAGTTCCCATAAGAGAAGAACTAGAGGACACCAAATGAAATTAATGGGCAGCAGGTTTAAAACACCTAAAAAATTTCTTCTTCACACAGCGTGTTGTCAACCTATGGAACTCCTTGCCAGAGGAGGCTGTGAAGGCTAGAACTATTACAGAGTTTAAAGAGAAGCTAGATAATTTCATGGAGGTTAGGTCCATAAAATGCTATTATCCAGGGGATAGAAATGGTGTCCATGGCCTCTGTTTGTCAGAGGCTGGAGAAGGATGGCAGGAGACAAATCGCTTGATCATTGTCTTCGGTCCACCCTCTCTGGGGCACCTGGTGCTGGCCACTGTCAGCAGACAGGATACTGGGCTAGATGGACCTTTGGTCTGACCCAGTACGGCCGTTCTTATGTTCTTATGTTCCCTTAAGAATGACCTTGGGAACAAACTGGAGATCTTCAGACTCAGGCCCGGTGCTCAGAACCTCCTGCTTTTTCTAAGGACACAGGAGTCAGACCGTAGTCTTAAAAAGGTGAAACCGGCGAGGAGTCCTGTGGCACCTTATAGACTAACTGAAGTGTTGGAGCAGAAGCTTTCGTGGACAAAGACCCACTTCGTCAGATGCATGTAGTGGAAATTTCCAGAGGCAGGGATAAATATGCAGGCCAGGATCAGGCTGGAGGTGACGAGGTGGATCCAATCAAGGAGGATCAGGCCCACTTCTAGCAGCTGATCTGGAGGTGTGAATTCCAAGAGAGCAGAAGCTGCTTTTGTAGTTAGCGAGCCATTCACAGTCTTTGTTTAATCCAGAGTTGATTGTGTCAAACTTGAAGATGAACTAGCTGTACTCCTCATTCCACGAGGAGTGTGAATGTAGCCGCACGGCACGGGGTTCGAACTGCCGGCATTTAAAAATGGCGCCGGCCGGCTTCATGCAAATGAAGCCCGGGAAATTCAAATCCCAGGCAAAGACTTTTCTAGGAAAATGCCCAGATGAAATTGTCATTTACAGAGTGGGCAACACAAGCACCAATATGTCTTAAAGATGAAGTTTAAGATGACCAACACTATTGGAAAAGCAAAAACCTATGTAAATTATCATGCAACTCAGAGTAATAATTTATTAAAATTTTTAAAAAGTAATGGATTTAAAATTAATATCAAGAAAACATGTCCTGACATTTATAACTCTCTTCCATTGTAAATCACGTTTCACCTCCTATAGTGCAACTCGACAAGACAAAAAGTGTGTCTACACATCACGATTAAAGTTTCAGGCTAGAAATTCAATACTGTCCCTCTCTGGTTTGGGTTTATCTGACAAAGAGAAGCCCAGCTTGATTGCACCAATATCATCCTGTATCAGCCTTTATACTGACTGTCAACCAGAGCTAGAATGCCTGGAACCGGCTTGCTGCATATGCTTGCTGTGCGCTGCTTTCCTAGCGCAGTAGAGAGTTGAGTTGTGAGCAGTATGTTAAAAAAAAGTAACCAATCCAAAGCTGTTGGACATTAGTCCTGTGTTATATTGGTCATGGCTTCCCAGAATAAAAATCCTAATAATTCAAAACTAATGGCTCCCACAGGATAACAAAAGAGTTCCTGACACTTTGTTTTATACATTTTTTAAAAATTAGAGACACATTAAACATATAAAATCACCACTACATTAAAGGTATACAAAAAAAATCAACTACTCCTAAAGCAAAATAAAAATTCAGAACAAATAAATCCAAATGTATAAGAAATACCTTTTGTAATAAAATTTAAAATGTAGTAAAAATGGCAAAAAGCAAATGAAATATTTAGACAAAAAATGTAAAAAGCAATAAAATATTTGTCTGTACCAACAAGATCTATTAATATTTACGTTTAGTTTTAATAAAAATAATCTAAATGTAAGCATGCTAAACTTACCTCCCAAAGTTTAACATTTAATGTAGCTTCTCTAAATGCAAATCATTAAAAAATTGCTTAATATTCATGTAAATTCACATAAGTCAATGGTTCTAACATTATAAAAATACATCAGAATGCTAAATTTCAGAACAACAAAATTAAGGTGCTTAAAAATGTAAATGAAACATATTTGAATGTATATGACCTGTATTCCATCTAAAGGCGAAAAGAAATTAAAGCTCCATCTATTGTAAGCCAAACAATTGGTTTAAAAAAGAACAAATAGCCTCTTTCATCTCCCTAAGCATTTCCCAGTCTCTAGCACAATCCGGGCCGGGGGGTCTGTAATACGCCCCTCCCGCGATGTCCTTATTAGCAGAGCAGGGAAGTGCTACACTCAAACGGCACTTTGTAAATTTTTAAAAAAAAGTTTTAATGAAAATCAAACCCCTCATTAAAAAAAGAAAAGGGCCAAGTGCAGTTTTACAACACAAAAAAAGATAAAAAATAAAAAAAGGTGCAATGACCTGGATGGTGCCCAAAATCTTTAATACAAGAAATAATGAAATCACATTCAAAAAGGGGTCTTTAAATGAGTAGAGTTAAGACAATATAAAAGGTTGGGGCTGGAGCACATGACCTATGGAGAGAGGCGAAGGGATTTGGGCTTATTTAGTCTGCAGAAGAGAAGAGTGTCATGGCTCCTTCCCCACTCCAGCATGATAAATGCAGAAGTGGGGGCCAGCAAGTGTACCCCAAAGCCTTATCTACCAGGCTTTGGTATAAAACTTCCCCCAATATCCTAAAACCCTAGAATTTTGGAATAAAACTTCCGCTGCCACCACCCAAATATTAATAACGACATTAGGGGAAAGATCATTTGGGAAATCTCACCCCTGTTATAAAAATCAGGACACACAGGTAACCAATGTCAGGTTCATAAAAAGAAAAGAGAAAACTTTTATTATTACAACAATATTCCTGTTGCAAGCATAAGGATCAGATGGAAAGGTAAGAAAATATACTCATGGAGGAATTACACCATGGGCTAGAACTTAGTTAAAAAGAGAAGCCAAACGTCTCTTAAGCAGTGCCAGATCTCAGATCCCACACCCAACCCTTAAAACAATAAAGCCTAACGAAACTATCTACGCTTTACCCTACTTACAGAAAGTGAAGAATTGTTTCTTGGAGACAGAGAGAGACATGCTTGTCCCTCTCTGTAGCGCAGTGGACTCAGCCAGAGAGACAAAAAGGGAAAGGAAAAAACCCAAATTCCTTTGTCCCAGTTTGAAAGTCCCACCCACATTCCTACTGGTCATTCCACATGGCTAGGTGTAGTTAACCCCTTAATCCCCAGGCTGCTGGCTAACCCCCATAATCATGACAAAAAGTGAGGGGGGATTTGAGAGCAGCCTTCAACTTCCTGAAGGGAGGTTCCAAAGAGGATGGAGAGAGGCTGATCTCAGGAGTGACGGATGGCAGAACAAGGAGCAATGGTTTCAAATTACAGGGGGGAACGTCTAGGTTGGATATTAAGAAAAACTAGTTCCCTAGGAGAGTCAGGAAGTACTTTAATGGGTTACCTAGGAAGGCGGTAGAATCTCTATCCCTAGACGCTTTTAAGTCTTAGCTCGACAAAGCCCTGGCTGGGTTGATTAGTTGGAATTCTTCCTGCCTTGGGCAGCAGGCTGGTCTCGATGACTCCTGAGGTCTCTATGATTCTATGATTCTATGAAAGGAAACCAGAGAAAATATTTGGGCAACTCCTTGCGGGGAGAGGAAACTTGTTAACGCTGCAGAAAACATTGTTGTGTTAATAAATAGTTTTGTTTTTGATTCCGAAAGAAGTAACAGAGTGTGAGACTCATTTCACTTCTAGGACACAGGAGTCAGATCATAGTCTTAAAAAGGTGACTTTATGAACCAAACAAAGACGACATATTTGGTAAAGCGGACTTGGTTGCCAGGTATTATAAAGCAACTGAAGAACAAGTATTGAAGAACAGAGAATTGTTTCCCTGGGATTCAGTTTCAGTTACAGTGAGGGGGAGGGAGGTTAGCACAGAGGAGTTTAACAAAACTAAAAACAAAGAACACAACCTGGTCATGTCTAACTAAACATTCTCTGTTCACTTAGGGTATGTCTACACTTGAGATAGGGATGCAAACGTAGTGTTCCGAAATTCCTAACGAAGCACGGGATTTAAATATCCCGTGCTTAGTTAGCAAAATCACATCTGACTCCCATTTTGAAATCGCATTATTGTGAAAAGAAAACGCCCCATGTAGCAGCGTTATTTTGAGAGAAATCCCTTCTCTCGAAATAACTTAAACATCATTTTCTTGTGAGCTCCTAGGGCGATGCTTACGCCAAAGAAGCAGACGGGATCCCTGGGTGCCTAAATAGGGGTGTGGCAAGTTGGAGCAGGGCAAGGATGTTACCCCTGCACATGGCACTGTGTGTTGTCCTAGGTTCCACATTTCTAAAGGGATGTTAAAAATTGGGGAGGATGCATGAAAGAGTGACAAAAATGAGTCAGGGCTGGAGAAAATGCTGGACAGAGAGAGATGCTTCAAGAACTTCA